ATAACACTTATGTTATAACACTTTTATGAAAAATTTATATTTACTTTTATGAAAAAAACAAACAAATTTAAGTTAACATATTTAATGAAGGAATTAAAAACTCCTAAAACTTTAAATGGGGAGGAGCTATTAGTAAAAAGAAAGTCCATTTGTTAACAAAATTTAATTATCATCAAAAGCATAAATTGTTAACAAAAAAGAACAGAGTATATATCTTAAGAATATATCTTTTGAAAAAATGAGTAAGTATATATCTTTTGAACAATTTTTTTTTTAATTATTAAAATACAAATTGTTAACAAAAAAGGAGCAGAGTATATATCTTTTTAACAAAGTTTACTTAAAATGTCATAGTATATAAATATTTAATTCAGGATATATCTTTTCAAAAAAATTTACTTATAATTATAAATATTAAAAAATTACAGATATTAAAAAACTATTTATCTTTTTAACATTCTTTTTAAACACATTCTTTTAACAATAATTTTTGAACATATGATAACACTAACTACAAACAGATTTAATTTATGTGTTTCATCATGCCAGTACACCACTTTACTGGTGTACTGGCATGATGAAACACTAAATATAAACCCATATAACCTTAACACATATAAAATCAAAATAAATAACACATAAATATAACTAAATATGTAAATTAAGAAAAAATTATAAATAAGAAATACAACCTTATTTTTTTAATTTTTGTTTATGACATACCTCATAATAAATTTTTAACATTTACCCTTATTAATGACATAGCTTGTAATAAATGTTTACAACTTTTAAAAAACAAACCTGGTTTTTTATATTGTAAAAGCAAACAAGTTACAGAATAATATACTTTAAATACAATTGACAAAAGACTTGAGTTGTGTTATTATTATAATGCATGAATTAATTAATTTACCTAATTTTAAATAATACTTTACTAATTTAAAAATATCATAAGTTTATAATATATGTTATTTAGAAATAACATAAGTTTATCCATTACTACAGAAGTCACCAAATTATAAAATTGTCAATCTTATTACTAATTAAGCTGATGAAGCAAAGTTTTCGATTTTATTAGTGATTAAGCAGATATTAACAGATTATTTAGATTTGAGAGTACCTCATAGCGTGGTCAAAAATATATAAAGAGAAATATTAAAAGGCCAAGCATGCTCATAAAACTCTGTGTAAACGCGCATAAATAGGTAACAACAGTATTAATTAAGCAATAATATATAATGGATTTTTTTTTAACTATTACACAAAAAATTATTATTTTAATTATTACACAAAAAATTATTATTATAACTATTGCACAAGAACCTATTTGTTCATTATCTGAAAATGATATTTTTAGACTTGCATTTCCTTGTATAATGACAATATATATATATATATATATATATATATATATATATATATATATATATATATATA